GGGGGGGGGGCCGTACGCGGGGTCTAGGCGCGCGTGGGGGAACATCTTGAAACGGGAGGATGACACATGGAGCAAGAACATATATCCAAAGTTTCAGCCCCCAGCTTTCCTGGTTGCTGAGATGAAAGAGGGTAACAAAATGCACTCGCTTCTGAACACACACGCAGCCTCTGGACAATACGCGTTTTTGCTGGCTGTAGCTGCTGTAGCGCTGCACGGCAAAAACGCATAAAAATAGAGTAACGAAAAGACAGGAGAAAGATGGGGGAGCGCTGTAAAAGTAGAAGATGGAAGAAGGTTTTATTTTTAAACAGTTAGCGACGGCCTTCACATGGATTCCGTCAAACACAGATATCTACTCTTCTCTTTCAGTATGGCATTTCATTGAATGGCAAAATAGCACTATGTCGTTATGGTGGCTTATTTCGCGGTGACAAGGTGCAGCTTGCTGTGAAACGAGGAGCCATTGGGATGGTTTTGTACAGCGACCCTTTCGATTATGCAAATGGACGAATGGATGGAAAGGTAACTAATTGGCCAGCGCACCGACCGCAGGAGCGAAGACGCGTTTTTTGCGTAGTTCCCAGCAGGTTTTTGTTGCTAAGGACAGATGCTTCTAGCTAAACAAATTGAGGCTGGCCGCCAGGAAACGCCCCGTTAAAATTCCAGTTTTCTAGCATTTCTGGTTCCTGAGCTAGCAATTTACCCGCCAAAAGTTTTAACGAGCCTGTACGTGAGAACCACGCGCATCTCGGAGCTGAATTTAGGCCCATTAAGGCCTACGTGGACCTTAAAATTATAGCCTTTGGCTTTTCAGGTTCCCCGCTTAGCAACTTACCCGCAAAAAATTTTCACCGGCAGAACCACGGACACATGAGGCTGAATTTGAAGTCATTAGATTGTACGTGGCTGGGGGACATTCCCTTGAAATTCCAGCTTTCTAACTTTTCAGCTTCCCGAGTTAGCAGCTTACCCGCCTAAAATTTTGACGGGCCCGTACGTGGGAATCACGTAGGTAAAAGCGCCTACTTTGACGATGGGGGCCCGTATGTGCATGTAAATTATGTCCCCAAAGTTTCAGCCTTGTAGCTTTTGTAGGTTTCGAGACGAAAAATCGGTACAGATGAACAAACATGTACAGACGTCCTCTCGACAGTGTGCGTTTTTATATTGCATAGATGCAAAAATCATTGCCAACGCGCATCGGGCGAGGCTGTGCGATCGTGCGTTTTTTGTAGTATTTCGTGCTGTAATGGGCTGGGAAAATCCCCTGAAGATTTCAGCCCCCGAGCATTTCTGATTCCCGAGTTAGCCATTTCCTCGCCAAAAATTCCGCGCGCGGCCGTGCGCGTGAACCACGCATACCCGGGGGCTGAATTTGAAATCTTTGAGTTCCAGATGAGTGGGGAACATAGCCCCATAATTTCGGCCTTCAAGCTTTTCTAGTTCTCGAGTTAGCGATTTTCCCGTCTAAATCATCATCCTTTCGTAAGTAGGACCTAGACTTGCGTGAGGGTTGCTGTCGCGTTCCTGGAGTGGCACTTGACCGGGAAATACGTAGACAATGTTTTGGACTATGGGTCGTTAAATAAGCGTTTTTGCATTTGCGTATAAGCAAAAACGCATAACTAGTCTAATTCAAAATAAAAACAAAATCCAAAATAAAGACATTAGCTTAATCCAAAATAAAAATACTTCACACGGCACAAGCCTGTCTTTTCAACCACTTTTAACTACAGAATAGAATTTTCTTTTAATTATTAAAGTGTTCAGAAAAAAAAACATTATCTGTCAGAGCATTCAGCTTACCTGTAAGAAACTCTCAAAAGAAGGAGCTATCGTTTCGTCGTCTGCTATCCTCGCCACTCTACCCAAAGCTTTTCTCCAATTTTTATGCGTTTTTTGCAGCTGTGCAATGCAAAAAGCATATTGTCGAGGGGTTGCCTATGTGTGTATGTGTGTCTGTGTGTCTGTTTTCAACGAGTTTTCATCTCGAGATCCACAAAAGCAGCAAGGCTGAAAATTTGGTGAATTAATCTACACACATGTGCGGGCTCGTATCCTCAAAATGGACGCTCAAGTCCGCGTGGTTCTCACGTAGGGGCACGTGGAAGTTTTTTTGGCGGGGAAGCGCTTTCGAAAACGGCTCATGCTAGGAGA